TGAGCAGCAGAGAGCACGTGGTCGCCGCGTGTGCGCATGCGTGGTGCCGCCTCTTTATTATGGGTGTGTTTTGAATGGAAGAATGTATTATCTGACCTTGTATTGAACAATGCTTTGAGGTATAACTGTCCTGCAACTCAAGAAGTGCAGAATAGGTCTCAGCAGAGAGATGCCGAAATGCAATGCATTATTATGAAATAAAGTATCTGCCCCATAGAAGTTATACTCATGTCTTTTATTAGCAGAGCTTGTAGCTTAATAGTCGGAAAAAAACTTCAGCGGTAACAATTAAAACAACCAAACTATCAACAACATAATAAGAACAACAACATCACCAATAACTACATCAGCAACAACAACAATGACAATCGTGTGCATATTATATTGAAGGGCTCGAAGGAAATTGTTCACTAAGAGATAAAATATATTATATTATACGTTTATCTAGTGAGTGGTTCCTTAACAATTTGAACGATTTTTGACCATGTATGTCTTAAAAAGGCGTAATGTTGACCTTTTAGTGACAGTATAGCGTGGTATTCTATGGGACGAGGGGATTTGAAGAGGAAAGGGGAGGGGGTGGGGTCTGTCAAGGAAAGTTACAATGATCTATTGCCAATGATTGCAAATAACGTTTTTTATTGTATGGACCAATGTGTGTGTTTAAGATCCATAATATATATTGAATATAGCGAGAGGGAAAGACCCGATTGACCGGTTGTTTTGTTTGTTTGTCCGTTTGTTTGTTTGTTTTTGTTTGTTTGTTTGTTTGTTTTGGGGTCTTTTATTTTACTTTTGATCGCTGTTGTCTTGGTCGCAGGGCGGAGGATCTGGGACGATATAATTAACACTGCACCTCCCTACCAATGGCATACAACTTTCCTCGCATTGGTTACAACTCAAACGCCATAACGTCTCTAGCACATGGAAGAAAACTACCTCATTACTTACTTAACTCTCTGTACAACTTTTTTCAGAGCCGTTCTCATGACAGAGGTTTTGGAGGAATAAACAATGGGCCTCTTCCTCCATTTTGTGAGCTCTACTTTTAAACAACAGTTCATTTCTAGTGGTTACATGTTTACTCACACAGAAAATAACTTAGTTTGTATTTTACTTTTTCTTCAAAAGTGTTCGAGTTTTTCAAAATCTTTTTTAGGGTTTGTTTTGCTGCTGTTGTTTGTTTTTTATGGGGAGGGGGTGTAGGAGGGAGGGGGGTAAGTAGGCCAACGTGTCCTATCCTGCAACCTGTATTTTCCCACGAAATCCCCATTATATTTCAGTCAGTCTTTTGCTAAGCCGATTATTCGAAACGCATCGCTGACTGCATAACAATATGATGTGGTGTTGGGAGATTGTTACAATCAAACCGCTGGGGTGGTTTTTTTTTAATAATCGAATTAAACGGTTCCCACACCTTTGACGCTAGTTCGACCCCTCCCACAAAGTCGCTAAAACAATATTTCGACAAGTGAGGTCCAGCCCTCGGCGAGAAGTGAGCTACTCGACTGTTCACACGACCGGCGAGTCCCTCCCTCCCCGACAGTTCATGCAACTGCCTGGTCCCTCCCTCCCCCCCCCTCCTTCCCTCCCTTTTACGTCGTTCTGGCACTAAGGGGCGAAAGTTCTCCTTTTCTCATTCTTCCATCCAGGCGCGATTTGACAGATCAAACACGCAGATGCTGTTCCAGCGTGCGCGCAATCAGAGGAATCAATCGGTCCAAGTGGCGGGCACAATGGCGGCTCGTGCTGCTAACTGGGCCGTGAGGCCAGGGGACATGTTTGTTGGGATATGGGGGGAGGGTTCGGGGCGGGGAGGGGAGGTAAGAGAGAGGGGGGACAGAGAAAGAGAGAGAGACAGAGAGAGAGAGAGGGGGGGAAGCAGAGAGAAAAGGTGGGAGATATGAGAGTTACGGAGGTAGGGAGGGAGGGAGGGAGGGAAGGAGGAGGTGGAGGGAGTGAGAGAGAGAGTAGGGTGAGAGGGGCTTAGACAGAAGACAGACAGACAGACAGACTCACAGAGACCGACAAAGACAGAAAGAGACAGAGGTAAAATGGAGAAACGAATATGAACTAAAGAAAAGATTACTTAACATTTGCAAACAATATTGACTTTTAAAGTTTAAAGTAAAGTAAAGTTGATAAACTTCGCGTCGGTAGCCTAGTGCCGGGCTGGCAACAATAATGCCCGACATTTGTGTCTTTGCGATTGACACTTTACACAATAAATTATCCCCACTTCGTCCAATTCAGAAAGAGTACCCCACTGAGACAGTGACAGCACTTGTCAACACGTTAGTGTTTGATCTTTTGTAAAATGGCAGCTTATTCAGAATGCTTCCGCAGGAAGCTGAGTTGTTAAGGAAATGACTACCCGAGTAACGATCACATAGAACTTGGTACAAGAATCGATATGCCTTATTTAAAGGCCATCAATTTTATTTGCCAGGGTCTCTGCTCTTTTATAAGGTAGCGGACACATAATATAATGTCCTATCAGGAGAGGACCAAGGGAAATGATGCGTCACAATTCGAACAATTGTACATAAATCTGAAACAAAAATTTGCATATTATTTCTTGAGATGCATTTTGTTGCCTTTCCTTCTAAGATTCAGATAAAGTAAACCGAATTGAAACATGTGTATGTATAACGAAGTTATATTCTTTACTTTTAGTGCTCCAAAAACAGCGTGTCTCCAAGTGTTGTTGAATGAACAGAATGCTTGATCTCAATGAGTTAAAGTGAATTAACTTAGTATTATGGCGTGGTGTAAGACAGGGTCAGGGTTGGACTCAATAGTCGGGTGGGTATACCCCCCTCCCCGTCTATAACTGCTCTTCATTCTGATGAATGCTCGCTCCTTAAACTTTCGAATGTATGCTGTTGTAGCTCTGCCCTGTTTTCACACAACACTGCACAACGAGGTTTTACCTTCCGTCACGTCAACATGCTCCAGTAGGTGTGTTTATATCATAATGCTGTCTTCATTAGCGGCTGGGGCTATGTAATCATCCTCATCATCATCATCAGCATCATCATCATCATCATCATCATCATCATCATCATCATCATCATCATCATCATCATCATCATCATCATCATCATCATCATCAATATCACCATCAATACCATCATCATCATTATCATCAATATCATCATCATGGGAGAGTGGGAGAAAAGGGGTGGGGGGTGTCCTGTGTTACCCTTTTCGGTGACGTACTTTCTGCTGGTGCTGAGCGAATTCATTTCTTTTCTGTACAAACACAAACACGACGGCTTGAGTGCCCGATCACACACATACACACACACACATACACACACACACACACACACACACACACACACACACACACACTCACACACACATATGTACGCATACAAACACACACACACATACACACACACTCACAAACAAACACACAAACTCCGTATGTCTCTCTGTAAGAGAGAACGGACATCATTTTTCACCATGCCCTCAAAAGATCATAACGTTCTCCTACCCTGAGCCTGTAATGTCAGCCACAAAAGCTAAGAGCAATGTTTGGGATGTTTCCCCACTGCTCTGTCCATCCACGATGACCCAGTAAATCAGGCAGAGCCGCGGCGTTTATGATCTCACCGTTGACCAGGGGCTAGCCGGAAGCGAAGTGACCGCTAAGTGGACGCCCCACTCGACAGCTGGCCCCGGTACAATAGGGACTTGAACTCAAAACCACCACGGTCCCCCCACGGTGGACTCGTGTGCCTCTCCTCTTGTTATCCGTAATTCGCTAGGGGGCGCTGAGGACGTGTTAGTTCAACCAATTAGCTCGCTCGTTTCCTGGCCCCCTCGGTTTTTCTGTGTGACTTGAGTGAGATAGAGTCGTTGTCTGTTCGCCCATCTGTCCGTGCGAGGAGCTTCTGTAAGGAGATATCACACGCCTTTCTTGTGGCCTGCTCTCAAAGAAATATCAATCAGGGCGATGTGGGCTTGTTGTTTGATCTTTGGTTACTTTTAAACAGTTTGATTTTGTTTTAATTTCCGATTCAATTGGTCGATCAATGAGGTTTTTTTATACTGTATTGACAGTGTGGAGTATGGGTGTCGATTAGTTTAAAACAGTTCTATAATCTTTTATTTCATCCTTTCGTGGTTAAAATGAACATAAGTATTTATCCAAATTGAGTTTGAGATGAAATCACATTTGTAAAAAAAAGAAAGGACATATTATTTTTAAATTATGAAAGAGACCGAATCCATTGCGAGTTGAAAGAGTGTTTGATACTCACTTCGCAACTAGTAACACCATCACTTGAAATATTCTGCTGCCATACACTGGCATAGTGTTGAGGGTCAGAATCCGTCTACAGCATGTCTTTTTCTATGATTCTTGGAAGAGGCACCAATCTGATGTTTTGTCTTGAATCATATTTAAACTTTTTGATGTTTTTTTTTCTTCTCAAGATTAAATGGACATGTCGGGTTTTTAAAAAAGGGGGGTGGGGGTAGGCACGGGCCTGCCCTACTTTTTTCTCTGTTACTATATCTTATCTTATCTTATCTTATCTTATCTTATCTTATCTTATCTTATCTTATCTTAGTTTGGTTGCTTGTGGTGAAGCCGCTATGCGTTGAGTTTGATTCACAATTGGGAAGAATTTTGTCGAGTGTCCCGGTCTTTCAGCTCGAACTGTGTATCCCTCTCAGCCCGGGCTGGCCCTGACAGGCAGGACCGAAGCCCGCCTCCTAAATGATCTAGATTGTGTCAATGGGGGCGTAAAGCGCCTTCATTAAAAAAAAATACGAGTTTTCGTGAGTCTCCACCTACCTGGCTTGGTCCTAGTGGAGATGGGCTTAGACTACCCTTGTATATTAAAAAGAACATTAATCCCGTATCATACCTTGGCGTTTATTTTATGCGTGTCTGTACGTTGTACGCTCGTACATGTTTTCGTTTGTTATATCTTTCCCTGACTTTCAGAATATCGTTGTCTTTATTTGTCATCGTGTTTCTACAGGTACGAGCCTGGATAAAGAGCCGTCAGAAACGACGAGCGCTGCAGCTGCATGGCTTTGACTACCAAGACGATCACTCCTTGGACTCGTTTGCTTCCAACAGTCTCATCGACAGGGTGAGTTGTTTAACCGTTTGTTGGTGATATGTCACAGTTCAGGCAAGTTTTGGGTGTTCTGTTGTTGTTATTTTATGTTGTTTTGTTCTTTGGGGTGTTGTTTGTTTTTTGTTGTTGTTTTTTATGGGGGGGGGGGTTGGGGGGTAATTAATTTCCTTTTGGTAGGTTGCTGTTTTTTGTTTGTTTTGTGGGGTTTTTTGCTTTTTTCAACATCAAAAAACTAATGGGCTTAGTTCAATCTGGGTTAATGATTTGATTGTGCTATTTATTGCCAAATAAACTTGCAACTAGGGCGGTCTTGGACAGTCAAGTTCTTCAAAGAATGAACGGCTTGTATGTGTGTGTTTGTATGTGTGTGTGTGGGGGGGGGGGGCTTAAAAAGAGGGGAAAGGTTCAGATTGTGGAAATTTGCCGATGTGCACAGTTTTTTAAATGACTAACAAGTATACTAAAACCACCCAAGGTAAAATCAAATTGCTTCGTTATTAATACTCCTTCTAATAAACAGATGATTTCGTTTTAAGCCTTTTCGTCCACTTCACTGGAAAGCTAGAGTGTATTTGCAGAAGGATGTTGTTTTCTTATATCGTGTTACATTCAGTCTGTCACCTCAGATACTTTTTAAAAATCAAAACGCTATAACGGAAAGACGTATAGTAAAGAAAATATTAGAGGTGTGAGAAGCCCCAACGATCCATAGCTTTTCCTGCTTTGTATTGGAAGATGTGAAGCTGTTGTGTAATAGATCACTATATGAACATGAAACTTTTGAGTTCTACATATTCGAGTCAGCATAGGATAGATGAAAGTATATAACGTATCTTTCCGAATGACATAACCTCGGATTCATCTATTTTCGGAACAGATTCCACGACCTTTGGTGTGAGTTTGTCTCGTAACGTGTAGGGTATTATTATCACCATACACGCCCAGCGTAATATTACAATAGATTTTGCAAAAACTTTCGACACAAAAGCACATAAAGTACTATCGTTGTCATGCTGAGCTCTCGACTGAATGGAACTCAGACAAATTTCGTCCCTAGCTTTGGGAAGGCGTCGAAGCTGATGAAACTTGTGATAAAAAACAAAAATTTAAAAATATTTCTGATAAATGGCATAACCTTTGCTGTCTAAGAAGTGCGCTGCCCATAAAATACTCCAGTTTCTACGCAGACGCATGCAGAATGCGCCGCTGAAACGTCGACTGTGCCTTAGAAACTACATGTATTTTCCCAAAATATATCGGATATTTCGCAAGGTTTTCTCTGTACTCGCAGCCTTGCTCGTTCTGCCAAATGAGACTCTTCTCGGTCCGCCCCGTCACTGAAGGATTTAGTTCTCGGGGTCTCTCACAGCTTTTCATTTCTCCCCCCAGCCGATCTAGTGCCTTCACCCCCCCCCTCCCCCCTCCGTTCACTCCCTCTCCTCCTTCAAGTCTTCATGCCAAGCAGGACTGAAAAAGCCTGAGAAGATTAATACCTCACCAGATTCGCTGCGTCAGTCGCTTCCTCTCGATTGGGCGTCTCAAAGACAACATGGAAACTCTGGATCCACTCTTTTCTTCCCCGGACTCGGATGTTTACTTCTTGCAAACGTAAAGACGTCGCGTCTAAAAGGGGTCGGACACCCTTTCTCATCCATCTTCATCCGGCCCGGCCATATGCGGATTCAATATTGTCTACATTGGCGTCGGGGACGCGGGACCTTCTCAACGACTTCGGACCCGTGCTCCTGAATAAGAGTGGTCTGGCGTGTCGTAACGTTGGTTTAGAGACGTTGGGTTGGCGGGAAGTGCAGTGCTCGGAAGGTCTGCTTGGCTTGACAGCCAAAGCTGCGAATATGAATAGAAGAAGTTTTCAACGAAATTGGAATTGAGAAAAGTGTGGCCCTCATTTAATTAAAAGAGCATGGTGCTGTCATCGCTAGAGATATGAGGTGATCATGGTTCTTTTTTTTTTCTTTTTTTTTCTAGAGAAAGCATTAAGGCAGTGTTTCGTTGCCTCTTAGAGTGAAGAGTACTTGTTCACTGCACTCTTGGCACCCCCGTTGTCTTAGTTTGTTTCTCGCGGACTAATGTACTTTAACCTTCCTACTACCATATCTGTTTTAGAATCCTAGCAAATAGTGCGACACAGTGGGGACTTGACACTGAAGGGGCTACTGGGTTTTTTAAATCTTTTCTTTTAAAAATCAATCGGTTTTATGTCGATAAAATCAACAAAACTACTTAATCTTACAACATCAATATCTTAAAAACGAAAGTTTCATGAGTTTGGTTATCGGATCCACATATGAAATCAATGTTAATTTTTGACGCAACACTGATCGTTACACGTAAGAGGATCATACTAATATTACTATTCTCATATTTCCCACTGGAAACAAATTTTAATCGTCAGTGGATTTTTTTTTTAAATCTCGACGTTAACCCTCGATATCATTTTATAAAGTTTCTGCCTCTACGCCAAGCATCCTCCCCCCCCCCCCCCCCCCCTTTCCCCTTTCTTAATCGGAAACGCATCCTCAAAGCAGTAAAGCAAAAATATTTCTGCAATTGTTAAGTCATTTGCTCGAACCCCAGAAGTGTTTCGTGATGTAGTTCGCATGGCGTCAACTATTCCGGTTAGAATGGGACCTGAAAAGGTCTAAAGGGGGAGAAAGGGGGAAGAGTAAGTGAGAGAGAAAGGGGGAAGAGTAAGTGAGAGAGAAAGAAAGAAATAAAAAGATAGAGAGAGAAACAGAGAAACAGGGGCAAGGACAGAGAGAAAGAAAGAGACGCAAATGAGAGTGAGAGAGAGAGAGAGAGAGAGAGAGAGAGAGAGAGAGAGAGAGAGAGAGAGGGAGAGGGAGAGAGAGGGAGAAAGAGAGATAGACAGATAGAGAAAGAGAAAAAAGGAGAAAGAGGGAGAACGACAACGAGAGAAGGAAAGAGAGAAAAAGAAAGAGAGAGAGATAGATAGGAAAAGGGAGAGAGGAAGAGGGAGAGGGAGGGAGAGGGAGGGAGAGGTAGGGGAGAGGGAGAGAGGGGGGTGAGTAAGTGAGAGAGAGAAAGAGAGAGAAAAAGAGAGAAAGAGAGAGAGATAAAACGATGTAGATAAACAGAGAAACAGGGGCAGAGACAGAGAGAAAGAGAGGGAGAGGAGATAGAGAGAAAGAGAGAGAGAAAGAATAAGATAGGGAGAGACAGAGAGAGGGAGAGGGAGAAATAGGGATAGACAGATAGAGAAAGAGAAAAGGAGAGGAAGACAGAGAAAAAAGAGAAAGGAAGAGAGAAAAAGAGAGAAGGAAAGAGAGGGAGAGAGAGTGCAAGTCCCTTAGCCGGACAAATGAAACCTCTGTAGTGCCGGTGGTGACCGGGCAGCTGGGCCTGGCTATGAGGGAGTAGTGGGAGCTGATTATTTGTGCTGCTGTCACCGGCGCCCGGAGGTCCGTGTGGGCAGAGACTAGCAGGCGGCTGCTTTCAGGATGTGACCCTTCTCTTTGAAACAAACTGCACGTATCTTTTTGTATCTTTAATATAGAAGTGTCACGTCATTGGGAACTCCCGAAAAGTCTGAGGCAATACGGCCATGGGGGATAGGAGAAGTGAGAGAGAGGGAGAGAGAGAGGGAGAGGCAGAGAGAGAGAGAGAGAGAGAGAGGGAGAGGGAGAGGCAGAGAGAGAGAGAGAGAGAGAGAGAGAGAGAGAGAGAGAGAGAGAGAGGGGAGAGAATGAGAGGGAGAGATGTATTAGATCTATGCAGTATACTTAAATAAGTTTTCTTAAGTAGGTGTTTTTACACCAACATTGACAAATGTTAGATCATTTAGGAGGCAGGATTCAGATCCTGCATGTCAGGGCCAACTCGGGATGATAGAGCTACTACATCCCAGCAGAAAAACAGAGATACTCGATAAAAATTTTCTCCATACTCAAGAATCGAACTCGGGTCTCATGAGTGCGACCTAACCGCTACACCATAGACGATGGTACCTCATAACTACACATTGTGTAAATTTATTTGTCAACAGCCGCAAGAGAAATGTTCCCCTTATATAAAATAATGCTCTTCCCTATCTTATGTTCCTTAAATGCAACTGCCACACATAGGGAAGTGCTCAGTGTTAAACAGGCGTCAGCAATGGACTGGAAAAACAATATATATCATTTTAGATTGTGGGAATATTCGCCCCCAGTGACACAATTTACAACATAGTATTGAAACTGATCCGATCGGACTAAGGGGACTGCTGCATCCCAGCAGAAAGACGGAGGTATTCTATAAAATAAACTTACACACTTGGGACTCGAGTTCATGTTTTATGTGTGAAAAGCAAAGAAACTAAACACTTACACCACCAAAAACCGCAAAGGTACAATATTATATATGCATTTACCTGTCCCTTCCATAATGATGATGATTACAATAAGCCATGTAAGCACAGCTACAGAACAGTAATGTTGGTAATCTGTTTATCATTCTCATACTCTGCCGGAACAACATAAGGAGAACTGCTGCTTTTCTTTCCTCACCCTTACTATCGTCATGATTCCTCTTTTTTTGTGTTTGTCCCTCTCTTGTGAACTGCTATTTTCTTAAAAGTTGAAGCGGACTTTGTGCTGTTGAGGCTAGAGAAGTGAGCAGAGTGGGCATGATTCCCCGCTTGGACTTCTCTGTTGACATCCACCACTTGGCGCTCCTATGATATTATGCAGTTGCGAGCGCCGTAAAACCTTACTAAAACTAAACTAACTAGAAAAAGGGAAATAAGAGCAGTATACCACAACAACACGATACAAATAATATGTAGTTGTTCTCTTATGTTCTTTGGTCACAAAACACCGACAAAACTGTTAGCTAATTGCCTTATCGTAGTCCAGTATTGGGCTTAGGAGCAGGTTTTCAAATTGTTCGTTTCCCGAAAAAATCTGTAGAGAGACTCATAAACTCTCTCAAAGAATTCTTATTAACATACGCCCTTACTGGAAGGGGACTTGCATCTAATTAAGTCTCTCATA